AAATTTTTAAAAATAGGTAATTAGTCTACATCATTATTTGTATATATGTAACAATGGGAAGTGTATTTAAGAAACCCTACAAAATGTATTGAGTTCTGAAAACGTGACTTGGTTGAAATGTTTAGATAATTTAAAATGTAAATAAGACCCAAGTTTTGACAAGAGCAAGATACCCCTATTTGAAAAATTATATTAGCGTAAAGTTCGGCACACGTTAAGCCACGCGTTGCAACGGTTTTTCGTACCCAGGATCTATCGTTGCCGCCGAAATTTGGCTGCAGCGACGGATCAAGTTAATTTGGCAAACTTGCTCAATGTTAATAAAACTTTTACAAGTGTAATTTACAAATTTATCCATTGTTTTTGAGTCTAAAAACAATAGCTTTACTAGTAATTTCACTAGTAGTTTTATTAAAGTGAGCCCTGGTTTGCTTTTGTTCGTTCAGTCGAGGAGACATGACCTTCCGTTAGACTGTATAAACATCAGTGCATACGAGGAGCTGAGTTGTCCACGAGACTCTTGGATGTAACACGTTTCCTGTCGTGTGACGAAGAAAATTAAAGAAAATGTCTTGGGTTCTCGGAACTACAGCTCCGAAATCTATGAATCCTTTTTTATTAGATGTGATTATATTTTACAAATGACAAAGCAAGCCGACCGCTGGTCGTCCGATGAATTTTTTTAAGGCATACAATCCTGTGTCTTGAAAACTCGTAGATGTTGAATAAGAAAAGGATAATCGTAATGTTTAACTCAGCATTCAAAAGATTAAATAAAGAATTTGTTGTTAGTTTGCTATACTTGTTCAGTTTTTAATGAAGTCGTTCAAGTCACTCTGGTGAAACTGTGAAAGGTTTGAACCCAGGAGTCATTTTATAAGTAGGTTGAGTATGATCGTCCTTGTAAATGTAGTCCTGAATAGGACTGTTGCTGACGGTAGAGAGGTTAAGCATCACGTTTACGGCAAACGCAAATTTGTACCACGTTACCAAGTGTCCTCTTTACTTGTCGTTTACTGTTCATTATTTCTACACCTAAATTATTAGTTTCACGCAATTTTTATCCATAAGAATTGTTTTGAACTGTTTTTGTCGCTCATTTTCTATTTTGAGAAATTCTCAACTTGAATCTGACGTTTGCCGTATACGTGAAGCTTCTCTAGTGACTGCCTTTTCGACTGTATGAGTTTTTCTAGTAAACTGAAAAAAAAAAAAATTATCAGAGGACAAAACCAAGTTTCCAAACATCAGAAAAGGAGGTTACGTGAATCATGTACCGGAAATCAACAGCGGATTAAAGAACTGCTGTACTTTCATATTGGTTGGGGAAAATCTTGTTTCACTTTCGATTTCAAGAAAAAAATGCAAAGGAGAAACGTGAATGGACACGACGGTTTCTACATCAGTCCTTAAATCTTCAAATTGAATATTTAAATTAAGTGGGAATTACAGTGGAAGCGAACGGTCTTTTTTGGCAGAGACAACGAGCATCAATAACTCCCAAACTTTGATTTCCATACATCTGAGACAGTAAGACTGCCTCAAAGATCAGTCGTAAGCCCTTGGCATCTCATTTCAATTCCTCGCTGTGTTGATTTTACTCTTCGTCACGTTTCTCCTTCCTGTGTCCTAAGTTAGTTTAAGAGAGCGCGTTTCCATTAAGCTGATTCCGTTTTTCTCATTAAATTTTATCTGGAGACCGCATAAAACTACAGGTAATGTTTGAGACAGGATGTAATAACTGGCCAAGGTTTTTCACCTGTTAGGAGGGAGAAGTCGCACTGGGTTCGGCCGGTCACTTCCTGGGGTTTGTCTTAGAAAACCGTCCTTAAAAGAAAATACTTTCAATTTCCAATCCGTAGCCATGTTCAGTTGCCTTTCTTTTGGATTATTCTGAATGATTTTATTGACTAACACTTACCGTGCACCTTTATACCCGCAATATATCCGGTTTCTATCATCTGGACCACATGACTTTCTCGTTCATTATATGGGAAAAACTGAGAAGGTTACTTGGATGTTACTTCCGCGTTTTTAAAACAACATGCCAGGATAATCAAAGAAATTTGCCTCATGGTATCCTTGTGAATTACAACTTCCAGAATATATTTTTAATGAGGTAATTTCCCATTTACATACTCTTTGTTGTTTTTTGTGTTTATACTGTGTTTTCATACATTTCTTTCAAGATATGCTAATTAAAATTTTGTTTTCTGAAATTGGCTTTATCCGGCTATTAAAGAAAATGAAATAAGTAATTTTCTAATTTTTTTGGATACCAAAAAAATGGAGGAATGCGCGCCGGCTTTAAAATCTCTTTTTCGAATCACAGTTGAACGGAACTATACGATCGAGTATATGTTCTAACACGCAACACTCTGAACGCTCAAAAACTTCCCCAGTCACACTTGAACGTTCTACGGGGGTGTCGAAAATGAAACAGTTCTTGTACGACGTAACGGCTCTAGGGGAAATATAGAGTAATTTTTCTAAAAAAGCAGTCGATGCTTGATTATATATTTGATCGCAGACAGTAGTGTTCACTACTGATCCAGCTACCGGTCTGTGATCAGTTAACATGGCCGAACCTGATAAACCAACTTGGGTCGAGCTTCTTAATGAAAGAACTCCTCATCTGATTAAGGAGTTAGTTCCA